AGCGGTTTTCACGAGGTCATCTATGATCCATGGTTCCATCTACGGACCGTAGATTCCGTCCATAGAAATCAGGCTAAATGTTTAAGTTTTTGAAGTTCATCTACGAGACCCATTTACTGTTTGTGGTTCCATCTACAAATCATAAATGTGGTCCGTTAAAATCAGCAAGAACTGAATTTTAGAATTTGATTTCACGAGATCATCTACGACCCATAAAAGCATTTATGATTCATGGTCCTTTCTTGTGATACTCTGACTAAAGTTCAATTCTTTGAAGTTGATCTATGAGCCTCATCTACAATTCGTGGTCTCATCTACGGTCCGTAGATGTTGTTCGTGAATTTCAGTTTCAACAAATATTTCAACTTCTCAATCGAACTTGAATTTTTGAGGTATTACATGATGCCATTCTAATAAGTAGAACCAATACAACATATAATCTGCCATACAAATTTAGAATATGAACTACAAATATTTGATTTTTAGAATTCTTGCAGCTTTTTAAAAAAATGATATCTATTCTTTATGTGAAATATTAAATATTGCATTATTAATTCTGTAACTCAATTTTTTTACTCAGATTTTCATATAATTAAAGATTTAGGCTATATCTAAATTAATTGAGTACTTACATACCAGCGTGAATTGTAGCCCACTCTTACAACAGAGTTTCATTGTCAAACAAAATGATATTGTTTCTCTTTAATAAGTGTGCTGAGTTATTTTTCGTGTTGCAGGAGGAATGACTAAATTGCATCTCATATAAAAGGAGAGGCAACTAAAGAGAAAAATTGATCATCAACTAACAAACACAAAGAGACATGTATTAAAGGATTAATTCACATTCAAATAGAAGAAGGGAGGAGGGTTGGAATATGGTTGTGTACTTGTGTATGGGAAAGAATGTTATGGAAGAATTTATAAACTTGTTCTATATTTAGGTTTGTTCTTTGTATAAAAGTGTTTCTTGTTTTAATACTAGTATTACCCCTGACAGTAGTAATTGATCTGCTTAAATTGATATTATTCACCATTAGTAGAAGAACTGAAATCACTTACTTTGATTAATTAAAGATTACGTATAACTAGTGAGGTATCATAGGGACAAAATCAAAATAAAACTATAACACATGGACGGAAATAATTATATACTCTATACTCCATGTTTTCATGTTGTAGTGATTTTACCTTAAACATATAAATAAAGAAAACAACTCTTATAGAAAATGACACAGCCATAAATAATTTATTAGATAATCATGCTTGAAATTGATAGGATAAAGATTTCATAGCACTAGGTTTCTCAGACAATTTTATCCATTTTTCAACATTACTTTTACACTTTGTTACCTTCTCATTTTTTAAATATATAAATGATAATTAGTGCAAATATTAGTTGAGGTAGGAAAACACTAGTAGTTGTGGAGATCGGTGATGATTTCATTTTAATATATTACTAGTGATTTATTTGACTTTATCGGTAAAATTATTGAAAATTTTACTTTTGCTTATTTTCTTAATAATAAAATTATAAAATCAAAGTTACATGACATATATGTCCACTAAATTCATGAGAGCTACGCCTCACCCCATACCATATAAAAACACCTTCACTACAAAAAAAATATTTCTTAACGACAATAAATATACACATTAACTAAGAGTGTTAAAACCTTTATCGACATTAGTTAATTGTCATTAGATCTAATGTTACTATAATCTTTAGATACATTTACAAAAAATATTAATTATCACTAGAAAAATATATATAGCAACAATGAACTATTATCGTTAATTAATTATCGCAAACAAATTATTTTTCATATAGTGCCTACCTCCCTCTGCTTATCAAGTGGGTTTTCCGTAAAGAAAATTACTGGCTAGCTAGAGGGAGATCTTTCTTACTTCTGTATTTCCACATGAAGAGTGGTGACAAAAGCATTGACTATTTGTCAGTTCTTTTGGATTTTTATCCTCATTCACACCAAATAGTCTTCATGTAATTACCAATCCCAATGTCCCTCAGTAATCGGAAAGCCAAAAAGAGAAAAAGGAAAAAATACATTTCCTCCGTCTCATCTCAGTTGATTAGTTTATTAAAATAATTATTTCATATTAATTATTTACCTTATTAAATTAAAAAAACATTAATTAATTCTTTTATATATTATTCTTGCAATAATTTTTTTTAAAGTATTCATATTTGTTGTAAAATTCTCAAGAAATTTTTCAATGAGTGAATTAATAAAATTATCTTCTTATTTATGGTTTTTTAATATACGTACAAAAAAGAAAATGATAACCTAATATGAAACAGAGGGAATAATGGAGTGTGAAAGACAAACCAAAATTGGTATGGGCGTGAGGGAAACCAAGAAAATTTCCCAGATCTGAAAGCACTATATATGACATTTCCTTCAAATGGATTATATAAATATCTAAAAATTACTAGATATAGGACCCTGTGCCAGCACAGGGCCCAATATATATTATTTTTTTATTTTAATTTATGTCATATTATGGAATTTGAGAAGTTATTGAAATTTGTATATTATTTTAAAAATATTTTAAATTGTTAGCTATTGTGATTTGTAGTACTTTTTTTTAACATAATTTTGAAAATAATATTTATTACTCTCTTTGTTCTAATTTATGTGGCAGATGCAGAATTTCAAATATTAACCATTTTTTATATGTCTCTTTAATATATTAAGTTGTTAATTATTGTATTTTTTAGTACATTTTGAACCTAATTTTTTAATAATATATGTTATTTGCCATGTCTCAATTTATGTGGCATTAATTGATAGATTTGTTGGAGTCGAGAGATTTATTTTGTTAATTATTGTAATTTATAGTTTCTTTTTCGTCAATTTCAAACAATATATGTTGTTAATTGATAGATTTTTTGGAGTGGACTATTTTTTTTATTAATTATTGTAATTTATTGTTTCTTTTTCGTCAATTTCAGACAATATATGTTTATTATATAATCCATTTTATGTGGTACCAATAAAATTTAGAGAGTCAATTGAATTTTTTATATAAGTTTTAAATAATTAAGCTGTTAATTATTGTAATGTATAGTATTACTTATATTATTTTTAAATATATTTAAATATTATATGTTAGGTTTTTTATCCTAATTTATATGGCGTTGATAGAATTTAAAGTGTCAAATAATTGTTAATTATTCTAATAGATAATATGGAGTATTTAAGTCATTTATAGTATAGTAATTAATATAATATGTAGTATTTAAGTGGAAGGTGGTGGGGCCCACTTATATAGTTTGATAAATATATTGGATATTAGTTGTGATTTATAGTATAGTAATTAATAATATATAATATGTAGTATTTAAGTGGAAGGTGATGGGACCCACTTATATATTTTATAAATATATTGGACATTAGTAGTGATCTTATTGGACCATTGGTAGTCATTCCTAGACTCTTCTATAATATAGTAATATACAGACACTATAAATTTCTTTAATATTATCAAGTTATTAAAAATATAATTACTCCTCTCATTTCTTTCCAATTTAAGTGTGTTAACACAATGTTTAAGAAATAAAGATATAAATATATATTTTTAGATTATGTGATCTTAAATTAAAGTTATACGTAATTTTTTAAATTTTGTAGTCTTTTACTTGTTATGTATTATATTAAAATTAGACGACATATTTAATATAATCGAGACATATTTTTAACAAAACAAACAAATAAAAGATGCTTAAATTGAGATGGAAAGTACATATATTACAATAACATTGTAGACGATAAAATCCGCGTCGAGAAAACAATAATCAAGAACGAAAAAATATCGCAACAATCGTATTCATTATTTCAAAGTGTGAGTGTTACAATCTCTATGGTTCCTCGGAATTTGCCTTTTCAGATATAATTCAAGGGCTCTTGAGCTTGATCTTGGATTTGAGAGCTTTAAAGCTTGTTCTTGAATCTTCGATGAACTTGAACTTTATCTTGATCTTGACTTTTATTTAAATTCAAGGGCCAATTGCTTGTTCTTGAATCTGATGGTCTTGATCTTGATCGTTCTTGAACTTGAATGCTTGAATTCTTAAACTTGTAGCTTATAGAGAATTTTATGGCGTTTGTACCACGGGCTTTCTCTAGCTTCTTGTTTAGAATTTTCAATCCCTTTTCCGAATTATGAGGACTCCTATTTATAGTTTTAGAATAGAGAAGTTATGATTGGAACAGGATTCCCTTTGGCCAATCAGATTTAAGTGACATGACATATGAACCTTATGGAGCGAGCTTGTCATTTTTAACACATGTTATGATCCTATTGGCTTCTTGATTTAACTTGGCATGCCACATCATTTGATACTTGGCACCAAACTAGGCCTCTAGGATGAGATGTCATTGGACTTAGCAGATTGGGCTCATATATTGTAACTCAAATCAATTAATTTGGACTTTACTTAAATTAATATTTATGAGACTTAAATAATTAACTCAATTATATTAATCCACCATATTTATAAGGATCAATATATCTCGAATTTAAATAAATTCATATTTAATAAATTTTAAATAATTACAAACCTATCCAATAAAATTAGAGATATTTATACACATATCTTACTCATATCTCAGTAAGGTAAAAAACAAAAGCAATTGAAAGGTTGTTCAAGTGGCACATATCAAGCAAATTTACACATTACAATAAATTAAAAATATATTAATAATTTAATTGTTTTTGACACTTATAAGTTGATTTTTTTTTTTCCATTGTCCCGGGGAAAATTCTAAAATTTAGCTAGTAAGAGAGAGTCAACTAAACTTTTTCTAGTGTTCACTTTTGATGTGTTAACTTGTGAGGCTTTGATAAGTCCACATTATTGCTTATTATCTACATTTTTTTCTTAGCTTCTCTCTTATTCTTTTTCTCATAACCTTTTTAGTTCCTTTTTCTCTTTGTTCACTTTTTCAGCTTTGTTTGGTGATAAACAAAAACCCTCTTTTTTTCCTAATAAGCAAACATGCAGAATCCCTAGAGAGAAAAAAGTGAATATTATTTCATGAATTTTGGGGATTTTCTTGACAACAGTATTATTGGTGATGGTAATGGTGGTGGTGCAAGAATCGTTACGAATAGCAACAACATGAGAAGCAACAATAACATGTCAATTAGTACAAATTTACCATCACTTGCCAAGTCGATGTTCAACTCTCCTCGACTCTCTCTTGCACTTGTATGCCAAAAAATGAAAGTCTTTTTTGGTATTCGAATTCTTTTTACTTTTGTTCTAACCCAAACACCTTTTTTTTTTTTTTTTTTTTTTTGGTGAGAGCAGCAAACAGGAAGGGAAGGCGGCCCCGGTGGAGTTGCAGTAATGGCTGAAGAGAACTACTACGAAGCTAATGATAATAATAATAACATTATTGGTAGAGGAAATAGAGAGGAAGAGCAAGCTGAAAGTAGATCTGGAAGTGATAATTTGGAAGTTGCATCTGGAGATGATGAAGATGCTGATAATGACAAACCACAACGGAAAAGGAAAAGATACCACCGACACACTCCTCAACAAATTCAACAACTTGAATCGTAAGATCGATCATTAAATTATTTTCTTCATAACAAATCATAATTTTCTTTAATAATTCTACACTTTTACAGACTCTTTAAGGAGTGTCCTCATCCCGATGAGAAACAAAGGATGGAATTGAGTAGAAGACTTTGTTTAGAGACAAGACAAGTTAAGTTTTGGTTCCAAAATCGTAGAACACAAATGAAGGTAAAATTCATCGAATTGGATAAAGATGCAATTATTACATTAGTGTTGAGTAATTTGTTAAAATTTATTATTGCACCAGACCCAACTCGAACGCCATGAGAATTCGTTTCTACGACAAGAGAACGATAAACTTCGAGCTGAAAACATGTCGATAAGAGAGGCTATAATGAATCCAATTTGCACAACCTGTAGTGGTCCAGCAATAATTGGTGAAGTATCTTTTGAAGAACAACATCTACGGATCGAGAATTCCAGATTGAAAGATGAACTTCATCGAGTTAATGCACTTGCTGGCAAATTCATAGGCGGGCCCATTTCATTACCATTGCCTAATTCTACCTTGGAACTCCAAGTTGGAAACAATGGATTTAGAGCTAAACCTGATTTTGGTGTAGGAATTTCAAATCCGTTGCCAGTATTGCCTCATACGAGACAAACAACCGGCATTGAAATGTCATTTGATAGATCTGTGTATTTGGAGCTTGCTTTAGCAGCTATGGATGAATTAATTAAAATGGCAAAAACTGACGATCCTCTATGGCTAAGGAACAGGGAATTATGTGGCGGAGAAGTATTGAATCATGACGAGTACATGAGGAAATTTACTCCTTGTATTGGTTTGAAGCCGATTAATTTTGTTTCCGAGGGTTCCAGGGAGACCGGCATGGTAATCATCAATAGTTTGGCTCTTGTTGAAACATTAATGGACTCGGTCAGTATTTTTGAACCCTCTCCTTAATTAGTCGACTATAATTTATTTGAAATTGAAACGTAATTATTGTTAGTTTGAATATTTGACAGAACAAATGGGCAGAAATGTTTCCTTGTTTGATTGCAAGTACATCAACAATAGATGTGATATCAAGTGGTGTTGGTGGAACTAGAAATGGTGCACTTCAGCTGGTAATAATTAATCACTTTTAGTATAATGCTATTTAATATAGGCAATCTCCAATTAACTAATTTTGGTAAAAATGTTCCTATATTGAATATGTTTTTAATTATTTACTCAGATGCGTTCCGAACTACAAGTGCTCTCACCATTAGTACCCATCAGAGAATTCAAATTCCTCAGGTTTTGCAAACAACACGCCGAAGGAGTTTGGGCTGTTGTTGATGTTTCCGTTGATACTATAAGAGAAACAACGAGTTTTCCAAATTGCAGGAGATTGCCTTCTGGATGCGTAGTGCAAGATATGCCCAATGGGTACAGCAAAGTAAATTTCTTAAAACTCTCTTATGATTATGCATTTATCATCAAATTTAAAATAGTAATCGAAAAAATAAAATAATAAATTGCTTAAATTAAAACTTGAACTTGTGTTAATTTATTACACATATCCAACTGTCATCCAAGGGTAGGTGTCCTTGCCCTTTGATGTTTAATGAGTTTGTTAGGATAACTAATGCCTCCATTTCAAAATATTTATTATATTTTTTTTATACAGTTCCTAAGAAAATACTACTTAATTAGCAAGGATATTTGATAATTTTATTTTTATTTCTATTTTTATATATTTTATATTAATTTGTCAAATTTCTTGAAAATAACAAATAGAATGACAATTTTGTTATATAATCTTTTGAATATAATACTCCCTCTCATCCAATATAGATGAGTTGTTGAAACTTTTTGTAAGTTTCAGAACAAATGAATTGTTTAAAGTTTTAAAATGTATTAATTATTTTTTTTCAAAATCGTCCTTCTTTTAATGGAGGTTTCAATTATTTTTAAATTTCAAATAACGACTATTGCTATTTTTAAAAAGAGTTTGGGAATCAAAAGAATAACATTGACAAAGTACTCTTTTGATTAATATCCTAGATATTTTTCTTAAAAGGTGTGTTTTATCCTAACAATTTATTTATATTGGATTATAGGGAGTAATTCAATGCTTTGAGAAATGTATTAAAAAATAACTATATCAAATAATAAGAGTAAATTAGAAATTAAGCGATAAATTACATTTTGATTTTTCACACTGAACGAATAAAAATGAAAATATATTTTTAATAGAATAGACAAGTAAAGTACAGATCAATATATTACTCATTAAATATTAACTCTTTGTTTTATAATTGAGGTGTTTGTAGCATTTAGGACAATAACTATTAAGAATAATGTAAAAAAAGTTATTCCCTCTTTTCAAATATATGTGACATTATTTTCTTTTTAGTATGTTAAAAAAAAGTCACTTTTCTATAGTTAAAAATAATTTGACTTTAAAACATGAAATAATTTATAATCATATAAATATTTGAGATTTATTTTAGACCGTGAATTTAAAAGTTTTTCTTTCTTTTTTAAATTTTATGTCAAATCATATAGTGCCACATAAATTAAAAAAAAAGAAATACTTAATTTTTGTCTTGAATTTTTAAAATAACAATTATTTTAAAATAAATATTTTTAATAAAGACAACAATTGTTTTTTGAAACGAAGAAAGTAGGACATTAAACTTGAAGTTTCACCGAATCACTCACTAAACGACTAGTCTTTCGGTGAAGATTTGATCACAAACAAAGAGAGTTTTTTGAACCTTATCAAAATGTTTTTCCAAGGACCAAAAATTTTTCGTTAGGAAAAAGTATTTTCCTCCGTTCATTTTTAGTTATCATAATTTTCTTTTTGTGCGTCAAATTATATGAATTTTGACTAGTATTTTTAGATATATTTATTCATCCTATTGATATGAAAAAAAAGTTGCAACTCATAGTACTTTTTGTGTAGTTTTTGAAAATCTATAATTTTATTTTTAAAATATTGAATTAATCTAATCTAATTTAGCTTTGATACTAAGTTAAATTAACTCTCGAAAATCACAACATGTTAACTAAAAACGAACGACGAGAGTATTTAATTATTTTAATCTTCAAAGTTAAGCAACTTTCCTGCTTAAGATCAAATTAATAATGATAATATACTACTCCCTTGGGTCTGTTATACTTTGTCAGGGTTAATATATTTGGTTCAAATTTCAAAATATTTGTCTTTTTTAAAAAAATATATAAAAGAATTAATCATCTATTTAAATTGTATGTTTACTTCAACAAATGTAGAGATATTAATATAATGAAATAATATTGTATTAAAGTGAAACCAAGCAATAAATATGAGCAATTTAGTTAAATTATATTTTTTTAGTAAATATTTTCGTAAGCATGTTGCAGGATACAAACATGATAAACAAAATGGATGGAAGAGAGTATTATCATAAAATGTGAAAAATCAAGGTTATAATTATAACAGTTACTTATATTTTTGGCCTTTTGACACATTACTATATCATATAATTTAGAAGAAAAATGCATGCAGGTAAGTCTCAATACTTGAATAATCAATGTATTTGATCTTTATATTCCAATCTCTGATTCTGTCTCGATCAGTACCATATGTCCATATTAAATTCATCTAACTATGTATTACCTGGTTCCAGCATTATGATGTGTTTGTTTTTCTACTTAATTAGTGAAGTAGAGTACCTTTTAGTCAAACCCCCAAGACCCACTATTATTTTGTTGTCACGTGAGTATCTAAAAGATATTTTTTTTATACGCCTTGATATATGTCATCATCAATTTCGTGATTCAGAACTGATATAATGATATATATATCATTTAGTATAAATATAAAAGTGATTCATATATACTTTTATACTTATATTTATGATTTAAATATTTTATTTTCATCAAATCGAAGTAAAATAATTTTAAACTGGAGATGATTTGTGTAATTTATTGATATTTATTACAATGTATATAATATATATATAGATTACATGGGTAGAACATGTGGAATACGACGAGAGTGTAGTTCATCAGCTTTACCGTCCATTGATCAGTGCCGGCATGGGCTTTGGTGCACAAAAATGGGTTGTTACCCTCCAACGCCAGTGTGAATGCCTTGCAATCCTCATGTCATCTGCTGTGCCCTCGAGGGATCACACAGGTATATACACTGACAATATAAAAAATTATTATACTTTTAGTATAATTTAACTAATTTAGGATTTAAATAATTGAAATGCAGCATTAACACCAAGTGGAAGGAGGAGCATGTTAAAGTTAGCACAACGTATGACCAACAACTTTTGTAGTGGTGTTTGTGCTTCCTCCATACACAAATGGAACAAACTTAATTGTGTAGGTAATAATGTGGAGGATTATGTTCGTGTTTTGACTCGAAAGAGTGTAGATGACCCCGGTGAGCCACCGGGGATTGTTGTAAACGCTGCAACATCTGTTTGGTTGCCTGTTTCCCCACAAAGACTTTTCGATTTTCTGCGTGATGAACAGCTGAGAAGTGAATGGGACATACTCTCAAATGGTGGTCCTATGCAAGAAATGGCACATATTGCTAAAGGACAAGATCATGGCAACTGTGTCTCCCTCCTTCGTGCTAATGTAAGCGTTCTTACCTGATATAATTTGAATTGACACAAATTTTTTTTAAAAAAAAATTCTAAAATTTGTGATCTAATATAATTGTGTAATGTGTGTGCATATAAAATGAAAAACTGGTAAATGATTTGACTTTTTTTAAACATGAAATGCATTTGTCTTTTCATTAGAAAAAGGTTAAATTGAAAAAGACAAATAAGGAATTTTGGAAGTATCTGTGAGGACAGTTGATTGCAGATCTGGGCTCTCTGCCCTAGAATTTTCACCTAGTTACCAAAAGTCAAAACACATGACACTTGCTAATGATTCTTTTATTTTAATTTATATTATTTTTTTAATTTTTTTTTATATATAGAAAATACATAAAAAAAATTTAAAATCTTTAATTTTACTGTTACCCCATAATCTTAATGAAATAATTTATATTTACACAATATCTATTAGATTATAATTATATTTTTTGAAAAAATTAAAATTTTATATCAAATGAATTTATGAACGGAGAAAGTACTTTTATGGGTCAGCCTACCATGATGTCACATCATTTCCATGAATAGTTGAATCACATGCCTTGTTCTATAAACAAATACGGTAAATATGTATTTTAACTTGGTCTCACTTGACTTGCACTATAAATTTTGAGTATGTATATAAATAGATATTTAAATTTATATAAGTAAATATATATTTTCTTCCTGACATCTTACAATTCACGTTCTACGTGACAAGTTATATAGCTTCATATGTGTTATATCATGTATAATATGTTTATATATTTATTCAATTTTATACGAATTCAATTATATCTATTTGTGCACACTCAATCAAATAGGTGATGAACGCGAGCCAAAACAGCATGTTAATTCTTCAAGAAACTTGCACAGACGCATCAGGGTCGCTTGTAGTATACGCGCCAGTTGACATACCGTCAATGCATTTGGTAATGAACGGTGGAGATTCTGCTTACGTGGCACTACTCCCTTCAGGATTTTCCATAGTACCAGATGGGCCCGGGTCTCATGGGCCTAATTTGGTGAAAAGTCTTAATAATGGGCTTGGTCCAGGCCCAGATAAGAGAGTAAGTGGGTCCCTCTTAACTGTAGCTTTTCAAATATTGGTGAATAGCTTACCTACAGCTAAGCTAACAGTGGAATCTGTTGAGACAGTCAATAATCTCATCTCATGCACTCTCCAAAAAATCAAAGGAGCCCTACATTGTGAAAGTTAAATTATTTATTTTCTTTTTTGCCCTTATTATTTATTTCCTTTTTTGCCCTTTTTAAAAATAATTGGACTATAAGGAGCTGAGTCAAGAACGAACCACAAAAATAAAAAAAGAAGAACTCTTGTAAGTGTTAAGGGCCCGAATTGATAACTCGGATTCTTAACACAATCCAAGAGTGGTGGTTCGGGCATTGACTTAGGAATTAGGAAGACCCTTGAATGTTCGCTTATGCATATGGGGTGATTTGAAACATGAAAGTGTAAGGGTATGTTAATTTTAAGTTTGAGAGGGAAAAATAATTTGAAAGTTTGAGAGGAGTTGTTTAGTTGTGTTGTATCCTAAATTTGTCTCATTTATTTTGGTAACTCTTTGTAACAACATTGTATTCTTTAGAAGCTATAGTTTTGAAACTTGTACACTTGTTTGTTACCTAATGGCGAGTCATTATGGCTCTTGTTTGGTTTGATCTCGAACTAATATATTTACATTCATATTATTTGGATGATTGATGTTTTATAACATATACATGTTTGTTTGAATGATTTCCAAGATATTGTTCCTCCATCAATAGTGAAAACATATCCACTCGTGGATTTAGTTTCAGTTAACCCAATAATTCAATTTGCATCACTATATCCTTCAACAATTGTTGGATATTTGTTGTAATGCAAAATATAGTTTTGAGTGTCTTCTAAGTACCCCAAAACCCACTTCATTGCCATCCAATGATTTTGACTGGGATTACTTGTGTATCGACTCAGTTTACTTATATAGCATGCTATGTTTGGTCGTGTACAATTCATGACGTACATCAAACTTTCCAATACTCTAGCATAATTCAATTGAGACTGACTTTCACCTTTATTCTTAGCAAGATCAAGGTTCACATCAATTGGTTTCTTTTCCCTTTTGAAATTCAAGTACTTGAACTTTTCAAGTACCTTTCAAATACAATGAGATTAAGAAAAATCTAGACCATGAGGAGTTTTATGAATCTTAATTCCCAATATCAAATCGGCAACTTCTAGATCTTTCTGATCAAACTTACTGGCGAGCATATGCTTAGTAGATTTTACATTAGCAATGTTGTGGCTCATTATCAACATGGCATCCACATATAGGCATACAACGACCTCTTGATTTGGAATGTCTTTTGTCATGACCCAAAGTAGATCCTAGGCATAACATGACCTATAGAACCCTAAGAGGCCCTACACAAGCCACTTAGCATACATCATACAAGATAATAGAATTAAAGACTTTAAAAGATAGCATTTCATACATCAATGAAAGTTTGACAAGTGGAAGGCTAACATAAGTCTCAAAGTCATCTAGTACATCATAAGAAAAGTGATTGGGACATAAACCATACATCACATACAAAGTCTGAAAATGGAAATGACATAAAAGCAATAAAATAATCTTGGCCCTCAAATCATGAGAACTCACCAATCTTCAAAAGCTCAAAAGGATCAACTAGCCACCAATATGGGAAGTAGGAGCGTCAGACTCTACATTAGTGAAACAATGTAGGCACAAGTATGCATTAGTACACGCAGTGTACTAAGTATGATAGCAATGCTTAAGAGTTATGAAATCATGCTAAAAAGTCTTTACATGACATGCAATGACTAAGCTAAATCATAAAATAACATGTTAGAAAATATAAGTCATAATCATGGTCACTGCAAGCTAAACCTCTTTAACACACTTATGAAATACTTTAGAAAGTAACCTTAGTTCATTATTGTTGGACGTTTGCCATTAACCGACATAGACCACATGTGAACAACAACATGGAATCCGGTGTCTATCCTACACCGAAAAGAGATGCCCTTACTTGCCAAGGTAAGAACCATATGATTAAGCTAAAGTGGATCCACTAGCTAATGTCTATCTAAGTCAAACCTATGGTGGCACATAGTTATGGGATAGGGATATTAGCTACTAGAAACCCGACCTCAACTAACGAGAGAGCTTCCATCTCAATATCCTCTCGGTGTTAAGAATAAATCCCACATAATAGTCATTAATCATAATTTATCGTATTATCCATGGAAAGGCACAATTAGTAACCAATCCAAGCTAGAGTTCATTTAAAATAGCTCCTTAATATTAATTCAACTTAGGTGAGAAAACCTTTCAACCTTATGAATCATTTTAGGAGAAAAACTCTTTCACAATAACAACAACAACATCAATGTTTTATTCTCAAAGCAACCTTAAATAATTTATATCGATTTCAAAAGGAACATGCATATATTCATAAATTCATCTTCGATAGTTAATAATCTTAACCATGTGTTCATAGTCTAAAATATGAGTCATGAATGGGTTCATGTGATTTCAACACAAAAACATACAATTACTTCAATCCATGTATAAAAGAATAGAAACCAATCAATTGACTCATAATTGAATGGAACCAATGAAAATTGAATAGAACCCACTTGAATTGAGAATCTATTTTTACAAAATTGAATATTTTAGGAACCCTATGAAGGAAAGGACTCCAAAGGTGAATACTAACATACCTTAGCAATAAATGCCTACAATCAGTGGTGAATTGGAGTTCTTCAAGCCAAACCCTTGCTTTTCCTTCATTAGTCCTTGAGGGGAAATTTGAGGGTGATCTTGGAGGGGATTTCAGAATTGAGAAGAAAGGTTTAGAATGGGTAGTTTTTAGGCTTAAGGGACTCATATAAGGCTTAGGATTAAAATCAAAATGACCTAGTTTAGGCATTAATCAATTAGGAAAAAGACTTAAAAGTCCTTAAAAATAAATGCCGACCCATTCTTACAGTTTGGACCTACGGTCCGTAGAACCTTCTATGGACCGTCCTAGTAAAACGTATAATCGATCAAAGACCCTAAATTTGGCCAAATTTTGAAGGACACAATCTACGACTTGTATGTCCTTCTACATACCATAGATACTAACTGTATAACCCAATCTTAAGCTTTAAAATTTCACTAAGTCTGAGAGTCACCTACGAGACCTATCTACAACTCATACATGGGATGACGGGCTGTCTTGGTGAACCGTACAAAGGGTACTGAGACTTGTTTTGAAAAAAATAATTTCTCCCTTCCTACGATTGCTACCTATGGCCCCTAGAAGATTCCACGGTCCATAGATGAGAACCGTAGACACAACGTGCAACCCAAAAAATCATTTTCTTCCTTTTCCAAATTTCAAGGTGTTACATCTTTAATGTAAGCACATTTATCACATTCATTGTTCTTAAATCCATTTGCTCACATGGTTTGATCAACCTTTACATGAATAATTTCTTATCTGCAGGGGCTGGAGCATATGATGCAAATAATTCTTTATTGTCACAAACATGGTATGAGGCACCAGAATCTATCCATCATTTTCTTGGATTTTCAACCAAGTTGCATTCTGAAAGCAATGCATAGAGATCATCTATCTCTTTCTTTGGATTCAACCAAATTTTCTTGTTCCTTCTTCTTATCCTTCTTAGAAATCCGACATTCATTAGTCCTTTGACCATGTTTGCCACTATTGAAGCAATTTCATGTGAACTTCTTCTTAGGAGGATTGCTCTTCGGTCCAGATGCTTTTTTTTTCTTGAACTTGTGGGATCTTCTTCAACAACATTTGCTTCGGATATTGCTGAATTACCAAGTAAACCTTTTTTTATGTGGCCTTGTTATCCTCTTTGATTCTCAGTCTTACCATGATATCTTCAACAATCATTTCCTTGCGTTTATATGTTTCAAGTAGTTTTTGAAGTCCTTCCACAACGGAGGTAGCTTTTCAATAATGGCTGTCACTTGAAAAGCATAATTCACAACCAATCTTACATCAAATATTATGTGAGTATTAAAAATAAACTTAACATGTTCAACATAGGTATTATATAAAGTTATACCTTCAGCAAGGAGATAATAGATTATAACCTGCAACTGCTGAACTTGGGTGACAACAGTCTTATTGTCTATCATCTTATAGTCTAGAAATTTTGGCACTGTGAACTTCTTCATTTCGACATCCTCTATTTGGTAATTCTTTTCCAAAGCATCCCAGAGTTCTTTTGAGGTCTTCATATTACTGTACACATTGTACAGGTCATCTTGCAGGCCACTCAGAATGCAATTTTTACACAGAAAATCAAAGGGCTTCCAAGCCTTTGTTACCAAGAATCATTTTTCATCTAGAGTTTCACCCGATTGAATAGGAACATTCTCACTAATGAACCTCTGCAGACTCAACATAGTCCATTAGAAGAACATATTTTGCTGTCATCTCTTGAAGTCGACTCTAGAAAACTTTATAGGTTTCTCAGCCGGTGCAAGAGCAACAATTGAACGATTGGGGTGCAATCGATGATGTTGTAGTATTCATTGTTACAACATTAACTTGACTTCAATTAGTCATTTTCTATCACAAGTGACAGACAATTTGATATATGATATACTAACAGTAAAGAATAGATCTTTATACAACCTATTTCTAATTTAAACGATGAAGTTCTTATATTCTTCTAATCGTTAATCGAATGGATCTAAAAATTCAAACAAAGTAGAAAATCAAAACGATTTTAATCTCCAGAAACCTCAAATATAGAAACAAAATATACAATAAATTTCTTAATCTTCTTAACTCCTGTATTTAGGTTAGTAAAAATAGAAATAGAAAGACGGAAATTAAAGTAATCCGTGTCGACAGAACCCATTATGTATCTTTAGGAGGTTTAATCCCCTCAAGTGCCCAAATTATAGATTAATTTCTCCAAAAGATAAAATGGATTTAAACCAATTAAAGAAGTAGCGGTACCTCAAACTTTGATAATCTCAACAAACTAAAAAATCAGCAACGAGTTCACCACACAGACTCAGCCGATCGACAATTCTCTCTATTTATAACCAACAACATCAAGCGTGAACAACATGTGTGAACATACTTGTTCATATAAGAGTATGAACGCACATGTTCTGACAAGACGTGTCCTATTTAGATCATTTGTGTCTTTTGA